TGTTTTCTCTACCATAACAAGGTATTAGTAAGTTTTCACATGTTGCCTTTAAATGTAATAAAACTTATCAACATGGAAAAAGATAGGACTTTTTGACTTTTAAAAAAAATTACACCCCTGCTGGGTACATGCCTCTAAGCACAGCAACTCAGGAGACTGAGGCAGGAAGATTACAAGTTCAAGATCAGCTTTAGCAACTTAGCAAGACCCTGTATCAAAATACAAAATAAATTGGACAAAGGATGTATCTCAGTGGTAAAGTGCTCCCTGGGTTCAGTCCCTAGCACAGAAAAATAATTAGATTCTTGTAATTGTTATCATACTTTTGCTTTGGATGGAAAGATGGTTTCCTCATGGACTCCTAAGGAGACACCCAACATAGCAATGAATTTGAGAAAAAAATATTAGGGTGAACCTGATTTGCCAAAATCTAAAACCCAGTCCACATTCAATTCTGTGAGACTATCCAGTCCACAAACTACAGTCTTGTAACTTGTAAGGTCAGATGACTATCATATTTTAATCATTACTCCTGTCAGACAATTCCCTGAACTTTAAATTATACTCTTTTAAAACTAATATTATTGGAAATGGACTGACCACATGATCCTTGTGAGGGCCGGAGCTTGAAAATCTTTCAGATACTGTAATATATGGTAGGCAGACCTCTGAAGGGTTGCTATACATTTCACTTGGGTCAGAGGTCTACATCTCTGTTTAAGCAGGATCCAGAGAACTGATAGGCTTCAAGATGATTTCTTTGCCAACAATTAATCTACCTATATGTGTACAGAGCTTTGGTTTGTATTTTTATGTCACTGTCTTACTCTTTTCTCACTATAAATAGTCCAGTGAGAAGGTAGGCTGTGAATAGCCACAGTTTGCAGGTATGTGAGCAGAAGAGAGGCCATAACCTCCTTGGATCACAGGAGAGCTTAGCTGCACAGCCTGGGGGAAGAAGTTCTTCTAACTCTTCTTCATGCAGGGTTCTTCTTTTCTACTGGAACAGAGGGCCCTTGTGGCTCTGACTTCAGGCTTGGGCTCACAGTATGTTTGCCTGGCTTCTGCCCTGTCCATAGGCAGGATTCTAGGGGCAAGTTCAGTCACCTCCCAGTGTGTTAACACAGCAGGTGAGGCCCGGCTTCCTGTCTTAAAAGGTTTTGAGAGAGGGCACCCTCTCTATCCGGCCCAGATCTTCCTTACCAGGAAGGCCCAGAAGCGGGCTTGCCTTGGGCACGGTGTCTACAGGTTTACCCTACACCGGACGGGAGGGGGTCTTGGAGTCTAAATTTAGTCTTCGTCACCCTCGGCCACCTTAATTTTCCTCTTACAAGATAAAAGTGTTTCATGTTCCCAGTGCCCCCAAGAACTCGTGAGCCCCGGCTCTTCCCGTGCTTCCTCGCCCTCCTTCCTGCTCTCCTTCCCAGCAGCTCCAGTGTGGGGGGCCCCAGCCCTGCGCCCCTCTTCGCCCTCCCACTCGCCCAGGTCTGCACGCTAGACTCCGGGCTTTGTTGCCCGGGCTTGTTTCTGAGTCGAGAGCGTTGCCGGCTCGGCGCCAGG